AGTTTGCATCCACGTGGAATAAACAATATTTACAGTTTTACCCCAGGAATATGTTAACCCTTGCAACCTTTGATGATATAATGTGAGTTATGGCCATGTGAGCATTTCACAGAACATCACATTAATCCATTACCTCAACGACATGTTAATTGGGCAAGATGAGTGCAAGGTGGCTAATACACTGGAGGTCTTTCTGAGATAGGTATGTGTTCCAGAAGGTAGGAGATACATCCTATGAAGATTTGGGGATCTGCTATTCCTGTAAAATTTTTAGAATACCAATGGTCAGGGGTATGCTGAAATACCCTCTACAAAGTAAAAAACAAATTGCTACATTTTGCACCACTTGCTACAAGTAAGCCAGCAAAATGTCTCTCTAGATCCCGGAGGCAATATGTTCCATCTAGAAATGCTACTCCAGCCCATGCCTTGGATTGAGTGTCCCCCCAAAACTTGTCCCACACTGTGAGTGTTAAGAAGGTGGGAAATCCTATTATGGTAATTGAAAGGTGGGGCCTTGAAGGGGTAATTAGATTGTAGGACCATGCAGTAGTGAATGGATTAATAATGTTGGTCAGGGGCATGGTTCTGAGGGCTTTAAAAGGAGTGAATGAAGTTGGCCTTTTGCTCTCTCTCTTTCACCATTTTCTGCCACGAGACCCCTGGGTCCCTGCCGCCACCACCAGGACCCTCACCACATGTGTTCCCTGGACTTCGGACTTCCTAGCCTCCAAAACTGTAAGCAATAAATCTCATTTTCTTACAAATTACCCAGTTCCGTGTATTTTGTTATAACAAACAGAAACAGACTAATACAAGCCCATATGCTAAATGATATGAAAAATTGCTAGGTTTGAGTCAGGGCCTGGAGCAAGAAAGGGCTCTGCAGAAGACAGTCTGTGATGCAAGTACCCTGCAAAAATTGGGCCATGTGATCTAGCGAATCCTGTAGTATCGAAGGTATCAGTGGCAGGAAAAGATGCAATGTTTGGTTTATGTCAGAGGCTCATGGAACTGTGGAGGAGTTCCCCCAATGTGTGAACTGCATCTGCACAGTGTTAAGGGGTGAAATGTGGTTGTCATGGAGGTGTGTCACCAAGGTCTCTTCAAGAAAACTGGATGCAAGTAACATATTTGTCTGACAGCCTCCAACTGCCACTCCTAATCTGTGCAGCATTCACATGGAAGTCATGCTTTGGGCATACTAGTCAAGACACTGCTGCCCAATGCAGGACTACTCTAATGGGTAATCTGCTCTGAGAATCCTCATCAGCTGGCAGAGAATCTCAGAGCAACTGAGGTCTGATGCTCTTTCTTCTGTTTTCTTTTCTTCTCCCTTCTACCACAGATGTTGGATGCACATTGCACTGTGAGGACTCTCCCTGCCTATTCCCTCTCCCTTGTATCCTTCCACAGGCATTTCTCTCAATACATCTCTACCATATGATTCCATCATGGTGTCTGCCTTTTGCTTTTGTTTTTTGGTTTATTTTTTGCCAAGATGACAGCATTTTACTAAGGTCATATTCATGGAAAAAGACTGATTTTTCTTCTCTGAAGACAGATTCCCTTCAGTTATTTATTAGCTGTGATCCCAGGTAGAGAAGACAACAAAGTCACTCTGGACTAAGTATATGAAGAGATGCATTTCACAAGGAAAAACGCTCAGAGCAAAAACTGCTTTCTCCCAGGCCTCCAGTCAAGACTAACAACCCCAGTGGGCTTGCAGAGGAACTTGTCACAACAACACACCCTCTCAGGGATGTCACAGAGTGTACGGAGGCAAACGAGTTAAGGTCACCTCCTCTGTTTGGTGTCAAAGAAAGGGTGTCTGCCTTTTGGAGGATCCAAGGTGACACTAGCATGTATGCTTTAACAATAAACTTGCAAAATTACAATAATTAATAAACAAGTGGGGAAGATTTCTCAAAACCATCCACAACTCAACTGTGCTCAACTTTCAGGAATACAAGTTTCATTGCCCTGATCCACACTGTCTCTCACATCTACACCATGTAAGTTTTAAATGTCATGGAACAGCAACAGTTGAGTAAGTACTGTGCGGCCTCTAGAAAGCCTGCTTCTTGAAGCCTTGCACTTTGAGGGATTCTTCCTGTGCAACTGGAAGCTGACCACAGGGGAACTACAAAAAACTAAACAGCCCACCAAAGGCCATCTGTTTGTGATAACGAAGTCATCATTTACTTTTAAGAACTTTGAATGATTTCGTGCCTTAGTACTTCTTGGTCATACAAGTCCTACTTTAAATGTTAAGGGTGACTTTCTGTTCAGAGGCTTTCATGAGAGTATAAACCCTATCATGTACCTTTCCTGACTACCAAGGCATCATTCTTAGTTCACTGCAGAGAATTTCAATATATCCATTTTCCTACCACAGCAAATAACCTCAAATTCTGCTGTTACCAAAGCCTCATTTAGTGAAGTATTAAATAATGAATCACTGCCTAAGGTACATTCAGTTCACCCATCTCTCTACAGCAAGAGTCAGCTTGTTTTGCACAACCTTTGAGCTAAGAATGGTTTTTACATTTTAAAAGGGTTATTTAACAAAATCCAACAGAGATCATATGTAGATGGCAAAGGCTAAATTATTTACATGTCCTTTTACAGAGTATGTTGTCCAACACACTGTTTCAGAGCAGTGGGAGGGTACTTCAGAAAGTTTGTGGAGACGGGGCCGGCCCGGTGGCGCACTGCTACAGTGCGCCGCTTGGGAAGTGTGGCGGCGCTCCCGCCGAGGGTTCGGATCCCACATACAGACCGGTTCCCGCTCACTGGCTGAGCGAGGTGCGGGAGCAACGCCGAGGGTTGCGATCCCGTTGCCGGTCCCCGGTCCGGTACGGGGGCAACACTGAGGGTTGCAATCCGTTGCCGGTCACGAAAAAAAGACAAAAAAAAAAAGGTAATACAAATCTTTCCATGAACTTTTTGAAGACCCCCTCATACTTCTTAAAAGGCACTAATGCTGACATGATTTAGGAGAGTGGATCTCAAACATTAGTATTAATAAGTCCCTTGAAGTTCATCAAAATGGACACATTCCTGGCAACCCAAAAATTCAGGTCTAACACGAGGGCTCTAGAATCTACATTCTAAACCAATAATCCAAGCAATTATGATGCAGGTGGTTCTAGGACACTCTGGACAGTTAAAATCTATCACTGGATCAACCTCAGACCAACAAGATGACTTCTTACCAAATTGCTTTTTTTGGACTGTTATAAATGTTTATCTGCATTGTGGAACATAACAGTATCAGGGAATAGGGAACACTGCTTTTCTTGAGCAACAAATTTGCTTCTACCTTGATGATACCATGAATCTTCTAATAATCTTATTCCACTCTATCAATTTGTTCCACCTCTAAGCAAATGTATTTTTGTTATATTTTTGTAACACTGTCAACATGCATTTTTGATAGCATGCATTTTTGTTACTTTAATCTTTGCTTTACCTTATTTTTTTTTCATTTATTTTGCCTTCACCCTAATTTTCTACATTTAATACATCTCTGTAAATCATCTCATAATCATTTTTGGAGAAATAAAATAATGCTGTAAATTTCAATAGTCATACTACCCTAAATTATTCCTTAGGTGCAATGTACGCATGCTCCTTATTTGCCTAATTCTCCAAATTCAGGAGCAAGACAGAATTATTCTGTGAGGGGAAAAAAGTCTGGACAAAAATGATTTAAGAGGTTTTTCTTATATAAAATTCCTCAGTAAGCCAATTCAGTATAGAGTAGGAGAAACACCACAACAATACATACAAATAGAATGTTCCAACCACAAGATCTTGTGAATGGAGTCTAAAGGAAAAAAATACAGGAAACCAAGAAAGAAAACATAGGGCTGTCCAGTTAGATCAGTTGGTTAGAGCTTGGTGCTGGTAACACCAAGGTCCAGGGTTCAATCCTTGTACTGGCCAGCTGTGCCCCTCCCCCTCAAAAAAGAATGTAAACTTCATAGTCCAACTTTAGGATTAAGAAAATTTAGTAGCTTTGAATAAGATATCAACAACTAAGGTTTACAGAATCAATGGACAGTATTTACTAAACACTCAAGTAAGTGCTAAGCACTATAAATGTATTATAGCATAGCTAATGCATATACATTAAGCTGGTAAAGTGGGTACAATTATTTACATTTTTTACAAACACTCCTCTATGGCTTTAAAGAGGGTGACTTGGTCCAAAGGCCGTGTAACCATTAAATAATGAAATTAGAATGTGCATCAATATCTGACTACAAAACCTACTCTTCATCAAAAGTACTAGGGCCTCTCATCAAGATTAAAATGTAAGCCAGGCACAGAAAGACAAATAACACATGATCTCACTCATATGTGGAATCTTAAAAAAAAAAGAAGTTGATATTACAGAGGCAGAGAATAGGACAGTTGTTACCAGAGACGGGGTGGGAGCGTGTGGAGACGATATGGCGAGGTTGGCCAACAGGCACAAAATATAATTAGATAGGAGGAATAAGTCCTGACATTCTATTACACAGTAGGGTGACTATGGTTAAGTTTTGTATACTACATGACAGCTAGAGAAGAGGCCTTTGAACGTTCTTGCCACAAAGAAATGATAAATACATGCATTAACTGATACTTTAAATACCCTGACCCAATTATTATACAACGTATTTATGTATCAAGACATCAGACTGTACCTCATAAGTATGTACAATTATAATGTCAATTCAAATTTTAAAAACAAAACAAAAAAACCATAGTGGGCAAGGCTGTAGTATGATAGGTCTATGTCAAAGCCTTGTCAGGATGAAACAAAAAGAGCTTGCATTTCTTCAGAGATTAAAAAAGGATTTCATCTTGCAAAAGGTGACAAGTAGAAAAAAATAAAGATAATGACACATGTGGAGCTAGACATCAAGTCTAGATATCTGGACTACAATGAATTCATATAGGATGGAGTGGGTAGAAACAGCTGCCAAAAGAAGTCATACTCCATGCTATTTCATTTCCAATTCATGGTGTTTTTATTTTAGAAAACACATTAAATCAAACAGGTTACAGCTATTATTTCCTTGTTCTGTGTATTTCTATTCTCCATTTGAAAAAACAGAGTCTGTCTTCTTGTTAATGAGGTGAGCAAAAAGGATCACTGGTAACTTCAAAAGAACCTAGGGAGAAAAAACACATACAAGTCATTTAAATCACAGATTTAAACAGTCTATAATCAGCATGAGAAAAAAGAGATAAAATAATGTGATAATAAAATATTACAAACTGGCTAGAATAAGAAAAACCATACCAGTTTTTTGTTATTACCATTCTTTGTCTTAGTGACAAAAACTGAGGCAAATTAAAATTTCTTGTAAATATTACTGTACCAAAATGCCCAAACAAACAAAATTCAACTTTAATGTTCTTACTCTAGTGTTCTAGGCTAAATTTTCAATAAATTACAGAATGAGCAATAAATTTTGGTTCAGATGAAGATTCAAGTTGGTCATCTTCTTTCAGTTCTAAAGCAGTAACATTTCTATATACTGAACAAAATTCTTGATTAACGTAAAATTGTTTAAAAATTTTAGAACCCCTAACCATATTATCTAATACTAAAATACATGTTTTTTGGCATTAGGACAATTTTTTTAAAAAATACAAAACTCACAAAATCCCCAAAACTCACTAAAGCTTGATTTGTGTCCCCCAAGTTTTATATATTAGAAACTTAGCCCCCACTGTGACTGTTAAGAGGGTGGGAAATCCTATTATGGTAATTGAAAGGTGGAGCCTTGAAGAGGTGATTGGATTGTGGGACCCTGCAGTAGTGAATGGATTAAAAAATGGAGGCCACGGGTGTAGTTCTGGGGGCTTTAAAAGAAGAGGAGAGTCTGTCTGTCTTTTTCTCTGCTTCTACCATCTTGCAGCGTGTGGTCACTGTCGCCACCACCAGATGGACTTTGGACTTCCCCGTCTCAAAAACTTTAAGCAATAAATTTCATTTTCTTTATAAATTACCCAGTTCCAGGTATTTTGTTATAAGCAACAGAAATGGACTAATACAATGACTTTTTACATGGTTTTTTAAAAAGAAACAAACTTCACTGCATATTTAGACAATTATCAGTTATTCTAGAGTCATGTTACTATACATCCTATTATTCCAAGTAAACATATTCATCTTAAGTATCCACTTACCCCACTGCTAGCTTAAAAATCTGAAAGGAATAAATTTTCAAAACAATAAGAAGTTTATCTTTGTTGCAGATTGATTCATTTTCCAGAACAGGAATGAAAGGTAGGCAAAGAAGAGGCAGAGGGTTATAACAGCACACTAGATCTAAGGAATTCATTTCTCTTTTCCGATGACCAGAAATTGCAGAGAACATGAAGGCCTTTTTGTATCTCATTTTAACAAGGTATACCTTTTCAGCAGCAAGTCTTATAAATGATGTACTCGTAATTATAGTTTGATGTATAACAAATAAATGTACATGCAAAATATTTAACAATTCTGTATGTAAACCATCTACAGCTTGTCTTAATATCCTTTATTTGACTAGACTCTCCACCCTGTATTAGATAACCATAAGTACCAACAGTGACAGCTTTGTGACATTGTAGCTGTCACTGCAGAGCACTTGTTCAGTAACTACAATAGATGTTAAAGGATGCATGATATACAGTGCAAAGAGCACTAAATTAACAATTAGAGACTTGGATCCTAGTCCTGGCTCTGTTATCTTGGGCAAGTCACTAACTTCTTAAGAATTTAGTTCCCTTATCTGCAAATTTAAGATATCTGTGATATTGTGAGATATATATTTGGTCTTTGTTCCAGTTTCCTGACAATACCTAAAATCCTTGGAATCCCCAAAGTTATATGTGTCTTTTTGTATGTTAATAAACTGACTGATGGCTGGCTACCCATAGGCAGCTTCAGGATGAGGGCTGCTCACTGGAAAGACCAAGACAGGATTAAAGGGTTGAGACTTTCAGCCCCACCTCCCAATCTCCAGGGAGGGGAGAGGGCTAAAGGTTAAGTTGATCACCAATGGCCAATGATTAAATCAATCCTGCCTATATAATGAAGCCTCCATAAACACTCACAAAGACAGGGTTTGGAGAGTTTCCTAATAACTGAACACATGGAGATTCCTGGTGCGTGGCATGCCCAAACAAGGAATGGAAGCTCTGTGCCTCTTCCCCCCAATTCAGCCTATGCATCTCTTCATCTATGTCCTTTGTAATATCCTTTGTAATAAACTAGTAAACATGTTTCCTTGAATTCTGTGAGTCGTTTTAGCAAATTAATCAAACCCAAGGAGAGAGTTGTGGGAACCCCAATATATATCCGGTCAGTCAGAAGCATAGGCAAAATAACCTGGGGCTCGCGACTGGCAACAAAAGGGAATGGGGCAGTCTCGTGGGCCTGAGTCCTCAACCTGTGTTATCTAGTGCTATCAGGTAGATAAGAGGACACCCAGCTGGTGTCTGATGAAGAATTGCTTGCTTACTTGCTGGTGGGAAGAAATCCCTATACATCTGGTGTCAGAAGCATTTTGTGCGAATATAGTGAGAGAAACTGAGTTTCTTTTTTCCATTCAATATCAGATGACTAAACTTTCCAGTTTTTTTGTTTGTTTGTTTGTTTTTTTGTCTTTTGTCTTTTTCCGTGTCCGGCAACGGATCACAACCCTCAGTGTTGCCCCCATACCGGACCGGGGACCGGCAACGGGATTGCAACCTTCGGTGTTGCTCCCGCACCTCGCTCAGCCAGTGAGCGGGAACCGGTCTGTAGGTGGGATCCGAACCCTCGGGCGGGAGCGCCGCCGCGCTTCCTAAGCGGCGCACTTATCCAGTGCGCCACTGGGCCAGCCTAAACTTTCCAGTTTTAATCTCACCTCCTCTAGATATCCTGTTTTTACTATAACACCTGAAAACAATTATTTGTGAGCTACTTTAAAGAGCACTAATAAAAACGCTTCTAAAATGTTCACATATGTAACCTAGAATAAAGATTTAGACCAGTTAGAATTTTAACCTTCAGTTAAAAGACTAAAAATTGATCTTCTCTAGTACATGCATCTCTAAAATACTGTTTTTGTTCATTTTCTGATTCCTTTAGAGACTTAAAAAAATCAGAGTTAACTCCAAGTTAAAAATCTAAGATTAGGAACCATATGCCTTTCGTTTCTATACAAGTGATCTTAAACAGCTTGGTTGCCAGAAACAATAAAGATACTATAGTTGAAATAAGCAAGTAGTTGACTGAGTAAACAGGTCTGCATCTTATAAATTTAGGAATTCATTAACTCTAGGGAATTTCAAAATATCATTTAATTTCTTCTATTCAGCCTAGTCAAATTTTACAATGTAAAGAATCACAGTACTGGTACTCTGATTCACATATCTAAAGGCAGTGTAGATGGATGGCCAGGCAGTTAGGACAGAATGCAAATGAAAAGGGGGGAGTGAGGGAGGAAAAGGGACGAGGACAGGGACACAGGGACGGACGCACACACACACACACACACACACACACTCTCTCTCTCTCACACGCACGCAGGCAGAAATGAAAAAAAAAAATGGCAAAACTGGGTAAGTAAAATTCAGAAGGACTGGGCCGGCCCGTGGCTCACTCGGAAGAGTGTGGTGCTGATAACATCAAGGCCCCGGGTTCGGATCCCATATAGGGATGGCCGGTTTGCTCACTGGCTGAGCGTGGTGCTGACAACACCAAGTCAAGGGTTAAGATCCCCTTACCGGTCATCTTTAAAAAAAAAAAAAAGTTCACATATATCAACGTAATGGGGAGAAAATCCTAATTTTACATACTGCTAGTTATTTTTCAAAGTGAAGAATGATAGTATACCAGTTAGGTCAAACTCAAACTAAGGCAAGGACCTATAGGCAACCATGAATGCATACTACAATACATAACCATACAAGTCATATAACACTGGTATCAGACTTAAAGCACTCTTAGTTGAAAATAACTTACCATTTGGAGTCAAAATCCAGGAATCTTAGTCCTGTTTCCATTCTTTGCCCCCCTTGCTTCACTTGGAATGTCATGCTGTATCGCTTCTCCTATGCAGATTTTAAGTCAGCAGTCATCAATCTGAAGAATTTCTTTCTCTGCTGCCACCTACCAGTTTATTTCTCTGCTGCAGCAGAAGGGTATATAGAAAAAGTTCTTGCTTACTATTCAGAGTAAACAGAAAAGACTCCTTTGTTTAACATTTCATGTTTTCGCATGTGCACCAACTTTTTCATGTCTCCCCCAGATCTTCCCCCCAAAAATCAGGAACAAAAATCCCAATCACAGAAAATCAAACAATGTATGATCAATGGTTGGTCATGCTAAGCTGAGAGAATTAAACATTTTAAAAAAAGAAAGAAAGAAGAAAGATTTAGACACTCAGCAGTTGCCATCTGAAGGAGCCATTTTCTTTTCTGTTATTATTTCCTTCTGCACCTATCTCTACAATCTATAATAAATATGTAACTTAAGATTTCAACTAGGTAGTTTACAATTCCTGCAAGTTTTAATTTCATAGACTATCCAGAGAACTGTGGAAGATGCAGCAATATAAAGAGTTATTTAAAGTAATTCTAGAAACTAAGGGTATTAGGTGCTTTACCTGCTTGAGTTTTCAATGTTCTGGACTGCTTATTGCCCAATGGCTCTGAATACATTAAAACACGAACACATACGCCACCTACATTTAAAATAGGGTAGCATTTGTATGCCCATATAAGCATTGGGTATATCTTTTGCAAAAAGTAATAAATTCATTAAGTCCTTTAAAAAGGACTGACCATGAATGTACTGTTCCTCAGACTGTTTACATGTATAGAAGAATAAGGGGGGAAAAAGGGAGACAGAATGACAAATGTAATAGCGTTGTAGAACTGGGAAATAACACAACATAAATGTTTCTGTTTGTTAAAATCCTGAGATTCATTTCTATTCCCATTCCGTTCATTGTTGGGGTCTACATTCCAAATTTATTCTATTTTAGTTATTATCCAGTAACGAACTAGTAGTAACAATAATGGCTTGTTTTTGTTCCCACCCTCCCTCCCACTACTTTCATCCCCAAATAAAAATATGTACAGTTTTGCCAACTTAAAAAAACCAGGAAATAAAACACCGACATAAGCACCAAAGGCTAGTCAACAGTGGCACGGCAGTGACATTGTTTCTACTTTCTCATTCCTTCCCCCAATCTCAAACCCCACCCTTTGACCTCTGTATATGGGATGAGCCTGAGCAGGAGAGTTGGTGATGTCAGGACTGCGCCGTTCCCACGGATGCTCCTAGAGGCCTGCTGTGCTTCTGGGAACTGGGGCACAGGGATGTCTGTCTGACTGAAACCTAAAACAACAACAGTTCACCCCACCCCTCATGTTCCCAACCCCACAACAGCAGCCAGGTATATATGCTACATAAGGTCCACCTACTAAGTTTGAGTATGGTGAGATCTAAAAGCAAGATTATTCATAACAAGTTGGTGGTATTCAATGGGGGAAGCAGAACGGAGGTTGTTAAGCTCTCCATGCCCTATGTAATTACATTATCCATACATTCTAATACTGGCTATTCTTATCAGCAAGAGAACAAAGTTCTCACGAACAAGCCTTTTTCAGCATACATCATAAATCTCCATACCAGTGCAGTAGGGATTCCTTTGTTAGTAAATTTCAGTTCAACATATAAATATTTTGTCTTAAGATGCTTAGGGGAGTGACTGTCCTTATCTTATATGAGTCAACTGAAGCACAGAACAGGTTAATGACATACTACATGCATTCCATCAGCAGTATAGCAACAGCATTACAAGCCAGGATTTCCTATTCACTTACTAGTGACTTACTGGACTTACAGCCTCTTTGGATGGAACACATAAAGCCACATGATAAAAATTATGCAGAAGTATATCTTGAAAAGGTCCTGGCTACTTTCAATGAAATTCTACCTATTAGAAAGGGGACTATCTCCCAAAATGATAAAATCTCCTATTATAGGGCCGGCCCGGTGGCGCACTGCTACAGTGCGCCGCTTGGGAGCGCGATGGCGCTCCCGCCGAGGGTTCGGATCCCATATACAGACCGGCTGCTCACTGGCTGAGCAAGGTGCGGGAGCTACACTGAGGGTTGCGATCCCGTTGCCGGTCATGAAAAAAGACAAAAAGGAAAAAAAAAAAATCTCCTATTATGGGGCCGGCCGGGGGGCGCCCTGCTCCAGTGCGCCGCTTGGGAGCGCGATGGCGCTCCCGCCGAGGGTTCGGATCCCATATACAGACCGGCTGCTCACTGGCTGAGCAAGGTGCGGGAGCTACACTGAGGGTTGCGATCCCGTTGCCGGTCATGAAAAAAGACAAAAAGGAAAAAAAAAAAATCTCCTATTATGGGGCCGGCCGGGGGGCGCCCTGCTCCAGTGCGCCGCTTGGGAGCGCGATGGCGCTCCCGCCGAGGGTTCGGATCCCATATACAGACCGGCTGCTCACTGGCTGAGCAAGGTGCGGGAGCTACACTGAGGGTTGCGATCCCGTTGCCGGTCATGAAAAAAGACAAAAAGGAAAAAAAAAAAAAAGAAAAAAAAAAAAATCTCCTATTATAAGCTAAAACTTTAGGAAGGATAGGAGAAAGGAGAAAGGGACAGGTAGACTGGGGTAAACAGAAGGGGTAGTTTATTAACTAACAGGAAAGCTATTAAAATGGACAAGGTGTATTCCTATTCCTGCCACTAACTTTAGTTTATGACCTTGGTTAATCTGCTCAGCCATCCTGTGCTTCAGAAATAGCCCTCCTATCTGTTCAAACCCGTAATTTTTGAATGTTTAAACCACGATTCATGATAATCTCAAACTGGTCACGTTTACCTTTATTAGAACTAGTGTCTCAGAAGTGCTAAAATGATTAGTTCTCAAATCACGTTACTCCTAAAATAACCAAATGCTTTCTATTATCTATGTCTCACCATTCCCTTTAACGTTTTTAATGATGTCACAGAAAGCAAACTACTAAGTCAACTGAATGCTATGGTGAGTCTTTACCATGTATATTACCTAGAACCTAATTTTACCTTTTCAAAACTCTAGTTTTCCATACCTGTCAACTCCTAATTGATGTCTTTATACTGTGAGCTCACTGTGTATTCGGAACACCAACAACCCCTGAAAAAGCTTAAGCCAGAGTAGCACAATGGAAGATACAAACAAACCCAAAACAAAAACAAAGCCAAAAAAGTCAAACTCTGAAATACTTAATTATAGACATATATGCAAGGAATGGAGTTATCTAAATGGCTAAACAAAATCCCCGAAGTCCTGAGTTCATCCCAACCAATTCAAATTTTACCCACAAAAGGTCTTCTTTAATCAAATTATTTGCTATAGTTATGCATTTTTAAAAATGATAGTTATAACAAACCCGTGGTTGCCTTTAAAGTACATAAAAACAGAAAATTTTTTAAAAATGAAAGTAAAGTTAGCCTTGTGATGGAAAGAAAGGAGAAAGAGTCAAATTACCTGCAAGCAGGCCGGGGTTGTGCCTGAATCCAAACCGCTGCATTTACCATTCATTATACAGCTGCATTATTGGGGGAAGGGGAGTTTAGAAGGGCACTGACACCGAAAGTTCTCAATACTTCTCACTCATCATCAGGAAGGGGGAAGAAGGAAAGTTTTTCTCTGGGTATTTTTTTGTTTGTTTGTATTTGTTTTTTTGGCTCCTGAAAAGGCTGGCAAAGAACAGTAACAGTGCAAGCAGTTAGAATATTTCTTTAAAAACAATTTTTTTAAATGCAAAACATTAAGGAATTTTTAAAGGCCAAACTTTTGTTAATATAGAAAGAATTTTCACTAGAGTTAGGCAGCCATCCCAAAACAGTATGGCAAAGGGCACTGGTAAAAAGGAAATAAAATACCACACAAAATCCAAAACAAAACTAAAAACATTTCAAATTAAACCTGGAAGACTAGAAGATTCCAACAGCAGATTTCTGTCCACTACTGAAACATTCCAAAATCCAAGCTTCAAAGGCGCCTAAATGTACTTTAAATGAAACTTTGTTTTGTTTTTGTTTTGCAAGAAAAAAAAAAAGAAAAAAAGCAGTGAACCTGGTTATAAATCCTGCAATATATTACATTTTTTAAAATCCTAGTACAACAAAAACAAATTTTAAACAAAATTAAACAAACAAACATAAAAAAACAGTAGCAGCAGAGGTTACCTGTCTGAGCACCTACATTTTCTTAGGAGGGGATCGTGTCACACCAGCCAAATAGCCCATAAACCTTCTCAAAAAAAGTGAGCCAGGAGAAAAATATAACATAAGATTTGATTTCACAATGTCTCTAAGCACCCCCCAAGCCCCAAACTGGGGATTCACTGAATGAAGAGAATTTGTTTTTCCACTGCTTTCTTCTTAAGAAAAAGAAGAGATGATTTTCAAAGTCAATGACTGCTCTCAATGCCTTCGATACCTTCTCAAAGTCTGATAAAATGCTTGATGAAAGCAAGTCCCTTGTTGGATTTTTCCAATGTTCCAGGATAGTTTTCTTATTGATAACACACATACAGAAAGATTTCAAAGTTCATTGAAGAAAAGCCAGGAGAAATGACCAATCAATTATAGACACCAAAAAAGAAAAAAAAAAACTATTAAAAATTTTAAATGGAATAGTTCATACTTATATATGTATAAGATAGGTATAAAAAGTCCGGTTTTCATCATGGTTGACATAAAAACAATATCAGAAAGAATTATTTTTAAAATACAATTTAGAATTACAATTTTAACAATATACACAAAATTTACAATAATTCATATTTTGGCATGATAATGATTACATATATTTGTAAGTACATTTTAACTTTAATCATAGCAATGAAGATTACACAAAAGTTATTAAACAGTTGTGAAAATAAATTTAATTTTCACTTAAATATCTGCTGCTGTTTCCTTTGGGTTCTTCCAGAATGATTTATTCTTACTCTTTACCTTAATTTTTGAGGGATTTCAAGAAGATATCCATGTTTTTAAAGTCTAAGATGACCATTCCTGCCCTTTTTATTCTAACATGTGAGTGTATAATCCAGAAATAGGTTGGTTAAGCTATGTTTTAATATAATGTAAATGCACAAAAGATGGATAAGTAGTGAGTAACACTTTGGTGAAATAATTTCAGATCTTTCTTATAATATAGTTGGCTAATTTGGCAAAAGTTAAGGAAAGGTTAACTATATTTTCCCTGGTCCCTTACACCACCAACACAAACTTTGAAGTTTTCCTGAAATAAAAATGTGATTCAATTTGTGTTTTTAAATCCATTAATCCACATTCATGTGATATATAACTATTCAAAGTGTATGTATAATAATATTTGTGGCAACCACATGGTCTCTACATGAATATATGAATGGTGATTTGATTAAGCGGTTCTTCCTTCCTCATTTATTTCTCTATGCCAAACAGTATGCACCCTCCAAAGTATGGTCTTCAGTGAAAGAAGTACCATGTATTTCTTTCTGTTAATGAATCAGAGGTACTTATATGTGGTATATGAATCCCCCATAACCCTGTGCAAGCCAAATTCTGTTAGATGCAATTTATCCTGAGATAAATTAGAAACTCCTCTTACGTATCTTTCTTCTGAGGTGAAATGAGACACTGCACAGATTAGAGGTACTATTCTATTCGTCAACAATCAACCTTTCACTCAATTTTAATATTATTTAATTCTATGGAAAAAACAAATTTTATTACATTCCTTTTTAAAACGGGGGAAAAACTGTACAAGCATAATCAAACCTCTGTTAGAGCTGGTTAATACTGATCTTTTATTATTGCCTCGAAGTTTCTCTAGTAGTGTCCGAGAAATTATATTTAAGGTCCATCTGAAGAAAAATAGCACTGGAGAGGCAAGAAAGGGCTTGG